CAGGAACAATGGACAGTTCACGTCTTCAGACAGGCCAGAAACAGAAAGCACCCCGGAAAGCGTAAAAGACTGCCAATTCTCAAAGCCCCGCCCAGTAACGTACCTCCTCCCAAAGCCCCGCCCAGGTACGTACCTCCCTCCTGCGAGACCACACCTTCTAAGCCTTCCTCAAGCTGCCCTTGGTCGTGGTCTTCTATCCCAGTGCTAGAAACCCGAGCTATGACAAGCCCAGTTTGCTCCTTGAGCTGGGCTTCCAGAGTTCATGCTGCCCGCGCACTGTCTTCCAAACAGCTATCAGGATGGCCCATTGAGCACCACCTACAAGGTTCAGCCACTTTTCAGTTCCAAGGGCCAAAGCCTTCCACATTTATCAAACAGACAAACAAGCCAACCCCAGCATGGTCGGGTCTGTCACAGCAATAGCTCATTCTCACGCTCTTGTCCCAGGCTGTGATAAGACACCAGGACCAAGGTGACTTCCAGAAGGAAGGGGGTATTTGGCCTACAGTTCCAGAGGGTTAAGATTCCATCGTAGCAGGAATCTGGCAGCACGGTGACAGGAACAGCTGAAGGTTCACATCTCAAATCCCAATCAGCAAGTGGAGAAACTCAAAATCACCAAGTCTTTAAATCCTCAAAACCTGCCCCTAGTAGCATGCCTGTTCCAATGAGGCCACATCTCCTAAACAATGCCTCCAGCGGGGACCAAGTATTTACTAAATGCTTGAGACTATGGAGCCATACCATTCAAGCCACCACAGTGCACTGTCATGTGTATCCACTTGCTGTGTGTGTGGAGGTCAGAGTCCTCATTCCTTATCTGTTGACAGAGGGTCTGTCCCTGATCCACAGTTTGCCACTCAGCTAGACTGGCGGGGCAGCAAGCCTTAGGGATCTCCTTATTTATCCCTCCCCAGTGTTGGGGTCACATGCCTACACCACTACACCCAGCCGAGTGGTTGCTGGTGATTTGGGCAGCAAGCACTTTTCCCACTGAGCCACCTCCCCGCTTTGTGTGCGGCCTGTGCTTTCTTAATCCTCACCACAGTACAAGGTAATGATGTGGGATGCCCCTCTGTATGCTGTGAATACTGCTGGTTAATAAAGAAACTGGCTTGGCCTGTTGATAGGGCAGAGTAGAACTAGGTGGAGAAAACCGGTGGTGGCGCACGCCTTTAATCCCAGCACTCGGGAGGCAGAGGCAGGCGGATCTCTGTGAGTTCGAGACCAGCCTGGTCTACAAGAGCTAGTTCCAGGACAGGCTCCAAAACCACAGAGAAACCCTGTCTCGAAAAACCAAAAAAAGAGAAAACCAAACTGAATGCTGGGAGGAAGACGATGGAGTCAAGAGAAGCCATGGAGCCACCACCAGAGATAGATGTGCTGTAACCTTGCTGGTAGGCCATGAGCCTCGTGGTAAAATATAAAATACTGGAAATGGGTTAATTCTAGAAGAAGAGCTAGCTAGCAATGATTCAAATAATGGTTTCTGTATGATTATTTCGGGAGTCTGGGCGGCTGGAAGATGAGCAAGCGATCTCCTACAACAAAGTAGCATTTAAAGCACTCCCATTTTACAAGGCCCAGGCAGAAGTTTGGTGAACAAGGTTACAACAAGGTCCATTTGTGTTCTGAAATTCTGTACTGCTCTACATGGGCAGATTGCCAGTGTCACAGGACTTCATATCCTAGGCCATGAACTTTTACTCCGAAGATGGCGTGGGGATCCAAACGTGACCTGCAGCCACGCTGAGTTGTCAATCTGGCTTCTAGTAACCCTGGTGGTCCCCCTCCCTCGAAGTCACCCAGCATACTACTGTGGCAAACCTCTAAAGTGGTGTGGAACTTCATAATCAGACTCTAGTCCGTGGGCATCAGGAATGTGCCTGGCACCCTTGATAGCAGCTTGAGAAAAATGAGGTACATTCCAGCTTCACCCACTGACTTGAGGATCCCCCTAAAAGATCCACTGGCCCAGCTGCTGCTCTGGACCAGGCTTCCACAAGTCCAGATAAAATCACACCCTGCTATCCTGGATCTATCTGCTTTTCTTCAGCCTCTCAGCGCTTCCTACCAGTGGAGACCAGTTCTTTTATACCGGATTCCCTGAACAGACCCCTCTGTCAGCTGCTCCTCGAGCCTGCCTGACACACAGTTCAGCCCAGCAATCAGCTGCCAACCTGAGACCAGTGTAGATTCCTGAGTGTCCAGCTCCGTAGGTCTGTAACCTGAAACAAGTCTCAGCCAGGGGCAGCTGGGGATGCAGCTCACTTGGCAGACTGCTTGCCTAGAATGCATGAGGGTTAGATCCCCGACACTGCAAAAACTGGATGAGGTGGTGGGTGCCTGTAATCCCAGTATCTGAGGGATGGAGACAGAACAAGCAGGAATTCAGGATCATCACAGTGAGCAACTCACAAGCTACACAGTGAGTTCCTGGCTGGCACTGAACATGAGACCCCCATGTCCAAAACAAACAGAACAAAATAGCCAGACTCAACTCAAGGAAGAGTTCTAAGGAGAGGGTGGCCTTTTCTAGTAAGCTGTATGGTGCCCAGAACTAACACACACACTCTTGGTTTTTCAGCACAGGGTGTCTCTATGTAGTCCTGACTGTCCTGGTACTTGCTATGTAGACCAGGCTGGGCTCCAACTCAGAGACCCACTTGCCTCTGTCTGCTGGAATGAAAGGAGGCTGCCCAGGCCTGACTACCCAGGGCTCCTACAAACCAGTACATGGGGGTTTGGGAGCAGATGACAGGAACGGTGGGAGTGCAGGCTGCACTCCAGGGAGAGGAAGCGTGGAGGCACACAAACACAGCCCCCAGGTCTGTGTGTGGACGCGTCCCTTGCTCTGGGAAGTGTCTGCTCTCACAGATAAGCTCCTGTGGGGCTTCGACTCTGCTGCAGGCAGCTCTGCTTCAGGGCAACAAGCAGAGAGCAGAGTCGATGCCCTGGAGTGTCGTGAGCTGAGCCGGAAGCTTGGGACAAGCTGGTTCCTCTCTGTACAGTGAGGGTCCAGGCCAGGTCATCTGTTTTCTTTTGTGTGTGTGTGTGTGGGGGCTCTCCTGTAGCCCAGGCTGGCCTTATGTAGCAAAGGATGACCTGAACTCCTGATCTTTCTGCCGCACCTCCCATGTGCTGGATTGAAGGTACCTGACCACCATGCCTGGGTTTATGTGGTGCTGGGGGTGGGATCCTGGGCTTTGTGGTAGCACTCACTTGATGCCCAGCCTTGAGGAGCCAGGGCAGCTGGTCCTCACAGTGTTTCTCCCTAACATCTTGCTATCCTGGGAGCCTGAGTCAGACAGCTGTCAACCTGGCCTAGGACATATGTCCTCCCTGGGTGAGATGCCCTCCTTCCCTCTCTGCTCAACCTCAGCATGGAGTTGTGGAACCTCAGTTTAGGGAGATGAATACTCGCTGAATGGACCACACTGAGCTAGGAAGTCAGGACCCATCAGGGCCCCTGACCATAACTGACTCAGGATCTGTTCTGCCTGGGTTTATCTGGGTGTTTCATAGCTCAGCATCTGCCCCCTTTTTCAGGGTAGCGCAGCCTGGGCGGAACAGCTGCTGGGTACCTGTCCACACCAACACCCCCTTTGTTCTGTCCATGACCTAGCCTCCTGTGGATGTGGAAGGCATTCACTTTTCCCGTGGCTTGTCTTGCTTTTGTCGCTTATGTCTGGCGTTTTCTTTAGTGTCCAGCACAGGTGGGTGAGCCCATGTTCTGCCCTCCAGGCACAACTGAAGGGCCTAGAAAAGGTCCTTTCTCTAGGCAAAGGAGTGAGGGAGCTGGAAAATGTCCCCACTTTCCCAGAAGCCTTGCTACCTTGTATGGTTGTAGCGAGCTGCGTGGTGTCACACCTGATGGAGATGTATAATCATCTCCTATGGCTAAAGGCCTGACCTATGCTATGATCATGCAATGATCACCAGCTGCTTGCATATGCGTGAACCTATGGGCAGTGCCCACCTGGCAGTTTGGGGTTGGCAGCCCATGCCTACTTAAGGGCTGGGAGAGGTTTGCCCGAGGAGAGAGGTCGAGGAGGAGAGAGAGGTTAGAGAGAGAGGAAAAGTGAGAAAGTGAATAAAGGTCCTGAAATAAACTGCAGTGAGAAGAGCTCTGGTGGTCGCGTCATCCTTGCGGGACGAGGGTGGCCGCGACATGTGGTGTGGTGTCTTGGCCCAGCAGAAGCCTGCCAAATGATCTGGACAGCCACGCTGTTCGCAGAACACCGCACCTAAGAGGGCTGGGGACAGCAGGATGAGGCCTACTGTCAGCAGGAGGCTGAGGCACGCATGTGGCCTTTCAGACGACAGTACTGGACTCTGTCGGGATGATTGACCCTATGCCTGTGGGCAGTAAGCAGTGGAGATTCAAGTCCCAAGATGTTATAAAATCCCTGGAGTGACACTGTGGCCTTCCAGGGAGGACTAGGTAGAACCAATGAGGGCTTTATTATTTTTATTTAGAGACAGTGTTGCTCTACAGCCTGTGATGGCTTTGAACACTGAGGCTGGGGTTACAGGGATGTCCCATTACGACCAATACCTTTTAAGAAAGCTTCGTGCGTTGTCTCTCTGCACTCATGTGTAGGAGTGCAGGAGCACACGTGCAGGTCAGAGGACAACCTCACATGTAGATCCTGGCCACCCACCTCGAGACATGCCAGGTGGGTGGGGCTGTGAGCCTCAGGAGATACTGCATGAGTGCTGGGATCACAGACGTGTGCCCATGGCTGGTTTTGTGGGCTCTGCCCATGCTTGGGAGGCACTGCCCACGGAGCTACCTCCCAGCCACCAGCGGGAGTCTGGGCTTTAGCAACATCTCCACTCCCAACCTCCCGCACCCACACTGACACAAATCCCCAAAACAGTACCAGTGCTCCGATTCACTCCATCTGGTTACTATTAACAGTGACTCTGACTCAACGATCCAGCCAGGACCATGCATGCTCAAAAAACAGCTCATAAAACATGAATGTTCTCATCGTTTTATTTGAATGGGTCATGTCTATAGATCGTGTTCAGTGTACAGACTACTCACAGTTCAGGGTAGTGCTTCTAACACAAGCCATATACAATGGGGATTCACTGAATATAGTGTACCTCATACAAAAATAAATTACAGTTTCAAAGCTACTGCAGAGCTTACCATGTAGAAAAGTAAACACAAAATAGTTGGTGAGAGTTCTCATAACCATCTACTGTATCCAGATGTGAAAACCAGGAGAGCAAAGGGCTCCATGAAAAGACACACACACACACATACACACACGCATACACACGCATACACTCTCTCACACACAGACTCTCACACACAAACAACACAGACTCTCTCTCTCAAACACATACACACATACATACACACTCACAACATAACACAGACTCTCTCTCACACACACACTCCTCTGATAAGAAGAAATCCTGAGAATTAGCGGGTATCACCCCCCACAATGCAATGAGAGGAAGGACTGCAGCCCCACCAGCAAGTCTCCAGCAAGAACTCTGAACCACAGCAGAACTCAGCTCAGGACAAGTTCCCCCAGCGCAAACCGAGCTCCCCCATCCTGGCAGCACAGGGGTGTTTCCAAAGAGTCCATCCTGACTGCCCACAAACTCAGGTATTTTTTTCCAGTAAAAGGTACAAATGATCTATAAACATGCATTCTTTATTACACACGTGTATCCGAGTTCAGTCAACTCCATGGCCAAGAGATGGATTAACAGGAACGCACCGAGACTCTCGCGGCTGAGACCTGGTCTCACCTTGCAGCTTCACGGACAAGCAGTACTCCACTGCTCTCAGAGCCGGGGAGCAGCACTTGCGGCGGTTCCCAACCTTCCTAATGCTGTGACCCTTCCTGTTACAGTGACCCCAGCTACAAAATTATTTAGTTGCTACTTCATAACTGTAAGTTTGCTACTGTTATGAATCACAATGTCAGTATCTGATATGTAGGATATCGGATATGTGGCCCCCAAAGGGGTGGTGACCCACAGGTTGAGAAGCACTGGCTTGGAGCTTGGTTATAAACAAGCTTTAGTGGGCACAGCTATGCTCCCGGGCACTGGCCCTGGTGGTGCTGGGCAGCAGCAGCAGCAGCAGCAGCAGCACAGTGGTGAACGGTTTGTGGTCTCCAGCTCTGGATCAGGGGCGGAGTGAGACAAGGGCCTCAGGCCTTGGTCTGCCTGCAGCTCACAGAGATCCACCCGCCTCTGCCTGCTGAGTGCTGGGGTTATAGGCAGGTGCTGCCACTCTCAGTCCAAGGTCCTGGTTTTGGTCCCTAGCAACTCAAAACCCAAAACCAACCAACCAAAACCTTGTCAGTACAACATACGCTAGGTCTGGCGGTTCATGACTGAAATTCCTGTACTTGGAAAGTGAGACAGGAGAACTCCTGTGAGTTCAAGACCACCCTGGGCTACACACCGAGACTCTGTCTCAAAACAGCAGAACAAAGTAAAACAACAAATGAGTAAATGATACTTGCTAAATGAGAAGACAAGGATTTTGTTCCTTAAAACCCTTGCTTAGAAAACAGCCAAGTTGCTGGGTGGCAGTGGAGCTTGCCCTTAATCCCAGCATTTGGGAGGCTGAGGCAGGCAGATCTCTGAGTTCCAGACAAGCCTGGTCTATGGAGGGGGTTCAGACAGCCAGAGCTACACAGAGAAACCCTGTCTGAAAAAAAAAAATAAAACAAAAAACACCCAAAGCATAAAACAAACAAAAAACTCCAAGTTTTTCACCAGTTGAGCGACTATACAATCTTGCAAACGACAAGACTTCCTGGGACTCAGTTAAGAGAAGAGAGGTCCAAGTTTTAGCCAGAAATGGGAGGAAGAGCAAGCAGTAAGTAGATCCTAGAAACAGCTCAGAGGTCTCATCCGCAGACACACCCAGGGCGCCTGAGCCTGTGCAAAGGAAGTACCCACCACAGCAGGACACAGAAAGAATGTTTCCACAAGAATTTTTCTCAAAGCAATGTAAGATGCTAAGGAGTCTGCTCCTGGCTCTGTCCAGCAGCCTCCTGAGGATCAGGAGAGACAGCCGGGAGTGCCGCCCGTGTGGAGAGGGCTGCTGGTCTCCAGATCATTTACATATTCACATGGACAGACAGACTCCTTTCCAGAGCTGAGGTGGAGTCTAGGACTGCTAACTCTAATTTCACATCTTACTGACCCCAGGCACTTTGTCTGGCTGCTCCCTGGGCACGGAAGGGCAACTCTGGGCACTAGCTCCAGTGTGACATAAAGGTACAGCACTGGCAACTGCCCCTTCCTACCCAGCTGTCACCTCCGCCTCACTCTACCCATTCTTGACAGCTTCACATACTCCCACCTACCACTTCCAGGTGCCCCCGGGTCTGTCACGATAGACCGCTGCCCTTTCAGAGGGGCAGAACACCCTCTGAAAAGTCTGACGTGCGTCTGACGTCAGGGCAAATGCATCACTCAAGCGTTAGTTCTAACTTAAGACTCGACACTAGGACAGAGGATTTCTTTTCACTGGAGATCCAAGTGACCCCTAACAAAGTCCCTAGCAATACTCTGCAAGAATTCAGGTACCTGGAGACACAGATGTTACGGGGTACTTTCAGCTACTCTGTCTTGAAAGGACAGTGCTTGATCCCACACAGGATGAGACACGTAGGACTTCTAAGCCACCATGCCTTAGCCATTGTGTGGTTAGCAGCACAGCAGACTATGTAGGCCGCCCAGGACCCAGCCCAGTGTCCTGGAGCAAGCCCCGGGTTCTAGGTCCCACACTGTGAAGAATGTCTTAATACTGAGGACTGGCAAAACACTGCCAGGGAAATGCACGAGCCGCCTACTGGCTAAGGGGAGCCAGCCAGCAAGAAGGGCAGTTCTGTCTCCTTTCGCAAAAGTGCTTTCTAACTGCCCAGCTCCCCTCAAAACTGTAAGGCCGAATCCCCAAGCTCCCTGAACACACAATATGCAATGGGGAAGCCAGGGTAGTCCAGATCACAGCATCTGAACCACAGAGCTGGATGTTCTCTTAGCTGAGAAGAATGAGTGCTCAACCATACACACGTCACATGACAGGCAGAAACCAGATAACATCGGTGCTTGGTGAGAGGGCAACACCAGTGGCTTCCCCAGTCCCCATGGCAGCTGAGGTGCTCATCTTCCAGCCCACACATCTGAGCTACTTTAGTGTCATTTTCTGTGCTGGCTCAGGTCCATATCCATACACTTTTCCACGGTGAGCACGTACCACTTCAACACCAGAACTTCTTTGGGTACAGAGAGTATGGAATTCGAGAGAACTTTAAAGCAGATACAAAACCCTAATGTGGGCTGCCTTCATTCACCACACTGTTCACAGCTTCCTAGTGGATTCTTCAAGAACCAGGTCCCTCTCGCCACCATTCCCCATGTCTGCCCGGTCGCGGGAAGGAACCGGAGGCTGCGTCTAAACAGGTCCTGGTTTGGAGCGCTGCTGCGCGGACCTTCACAGCTGTAAGCCAATTAGGGTTGCATTCCCACTGGCTCAGCATGGACAGCACAGGCAGCAGGCAGAGGACTCAGGTCTCTGACCAGACACCTGCTCCCTGCCCCGCTGCAAAGTTACAGACAGGAGTGATGCGGATCCTTCCTCTAGGAAAGGGGTCTGGGGAGCACAAGGCTGGAGACGATCACTCCATAGTTCCTAAGAGCAGTAAGACAGTAACTGCTCAGGCCACAGAGTGTGGCTGACATAAAACCTCCATCTCTCAGCGTCCCTAGAGTCCTGCGACTGTGAGAGCTGGCCTGGGATCCACCTACAGTGTTTCCATCTCTTCCTAAGTTCCCACTTCAGGGACGGTGCAGGGAAACGCCACTCGTTTCTCCAGCAGGCTTTCGGGTCAGGTGTGCTCACCCTGACATCACAGGAAATGGCAGTGAAAGGGCTCTGGACAGCAAGCCTTGCCAAAGGCTGCTATAAACAGTTGGGACCGCTAGGTGGAGCCACGAGTTTGGCGGGAACTAATGAATTTCGATGATGGGGGATTGGAAGAGGAGGTTATCTTCAGTTATGTGGGGTAGACTTCCAGTCGGACGGAAAATGTAGCTACTTTCTTCATGGAGCTGAAGTCAAATCCAGGTAGAAGGTTTTCTCCAAGTAAAGGACTCACTGGGCTGGATCCAGGGCTGACGGGGTAGCGTGGGGGCATTCCAGATCCAGCGGGAGCAGCAGCCCTCAGAGCTCAGTGGTCAGCAAGCACTTCTGCTTCAAGGCTGGGTCTTCAGCCAGAGGAGCCGAGCTGCAAGGAAGGGAGAGACATAGTGAAGACTCCTGGCTCCTGACTACAGGCTAAAATATATTTAACCCTTTCTTCACCGGCCAAGCTTATCATGGATAGTACGAACAGTGCTGTGCTGAGCACAAGAGCAGCACATTTTGCTTCTGTCTGAACTTGGCTTAGCTTATCCTCTGCAGAGAGGGGACGTTCCTTAGCCCCCGGGACCCATGTTCACATGCTTGTCTAGTAAAAGCTGTGAGGGTTCTCACCTTGGGGACGCCCTACCCCTACTTCATACTGCACTGTGTCATATGTAGTAAGGAGAGCAGGCCACAGTCGTAAGAGTAAAGAAGAAAGGATAAAGAACAACCTGTTTTTTAAAACAGAGATCTCAAGTCTACTAACATTTTCTTCACAAAGAAATCCCAGTAAATTTTTTTTGAAAATTATCAATATGCAAGAAAAAATACTATGTTAAACAATATTCAAAGACCTATATACTTTCAATCAAATTCAATTAGGACCTTACAAAAACTAACATTGTTATTTTAAATATAATCAACATTTCTTATTTCTCTCCTATCAGAAAAAGCTGCAGATGAGTAGTAATTTCCTCACCTGGTCACAGCATCTACCAAGAACGGTGCTGGGGGGGAGATGAGTGAGAATCCGTCTTTAGTACCACACCCTTCGGTCCCAGCCACAGACGGTCCACACCCTGTGAGCCTGTTGGAGACGGCAGCACTCTGCAGTAGGAGACGCACGGGTCAGCACTGAGGCAACAGCACTCACTCCCCAGCAGCCTCCCATTAGCCTCACTGACCGGGCAGCAAAGAGGAGGGCCTGATGCTCCCGGCTGTTTACCCACTGAGTCATCTTGCCAGCCCCCAAGCTGCTTATTTATTTTAATATGTGTACGGATGCTTTACTTGCATGCATGTCTGTGTACCACACATGTGCCTGGTGTCTGTGGAGTCAGATCCCCTGGAACTGGAGTTACAGATAGTTATGAGCTAGCTGCCATCAGGGTGCTGGGAACCGAACCTAGGCCCTCTGCAAAAAAAGTAAGCACTCTTAACCACTGAGTCATCTCTCCAGCCCCTTTCACCTCAGATTTTTATTTATCTGTCTGAATCATTTAGCATTTACAGAAAAGTTGAGCCACAAATCTGAAGCTGTTAAATTAACAGAGCTTTGATAATGACCCCAACATTTGTAGGAAAAACAAGAAAGTGAGATTCCTTTAAGCTTCTGAGACTGTAACCAAAAGAACTGAATAGTATGGACTTACTGGAATAATCCACCGGGGTGTGATCATGGATGACGAAGACACCTAAAACAAATTTCATAGCCACTTACTTTTAGGGAAGACTGACTTGTATTTCCTAATGTGAAATGACCGCAGGGCGCAGTTTCCATGGAGACTCCTGAGCTGACATAACTTTTAGCGCCAGGCTTAGGACTTTGAGAATCTTTGAGAATCTCCATAATAGGAAAGATTATAAGTTAAGAACACTACTGCTACTGTTAATTCATTTATCACATTTTTTTTTTAAAAGACAGGGTTTCTTTGTGTAGTCTTAGTTGTCTTGGAATGGGCTCTGTAGACCAGGCTGGCACTGAACTCAGAGATCCGCCTGTCTCTGCCTCCTGAGTGCTGGGATTAAAGGTGTGCACTGCCACTAACCTGGCTCATTTATTATTCTTAAAAATCTTTTAAATTATATTTATTTATTTGTGTGTGTGTGAGAGTGTGCACACATAAACACAAACACACACACATAGAATAGTAGCTGCCAGCAGACACGGGGGCATTAGAAGGATGTATGGTCTCCACTCTTGCTGACTTCCAGGTACTGGAGTTAAGTTAGCACAGGAGCACCTGAACATGGCTCAAGTGTAAATGAGTGGAGGATTAAGACGGAGTTGTGGTGTGGGAAGTCCTTCTGTATATGTGTTGCTTTTATTGGTTAATGAATAAAGAAGCTGCTTTGGCCTATGATAGGGCAGAATAGAGCTAGGCAGGAAAACTAAACTGAATATGCTGGGAGAAAGAAGGCAGAATCAGAGAGACACCATGTAGCCACCAGAGGAGAAAGACAGGAGCTGCCAGCCAGAACCTTGCCTGTAGGTGATGAGCCTCATGGTAAAATATAAAATAATGGAAATGGGTTAATTTAAGGTGTAAGAGCTAGCCAATAAGAAGCCAAAGCTAATAGGCCAAGCAGTGTTGTAATTAATATAGTTTCTAAGTGGTTATTTCAGGTCTGGGTGGCCGGGAAACAAACAAAACAGTGCTGGAGGCACAAGGTCCAGAGATTAGTAGCATCACTATCAAGACCCTAACAGTTCTAACCTACGCTTACCCAGGTCCAGAGATCTAGGTGCACAAATGTTCACCAAGGGGATGGTGATTTTTGCTGTGGGCTTAGTCTGATTTTACTGACTTTGTAAGTGGAGACAGGAGTAGAATAATCAGGAATATACAAAGAGCAGCAGGGAGAGGATGACAATCCTTTAAGTTTGATTACATTTGGAACAGCTGTGACTGCTCCACTTAGCATGTCAGTCATTCATATGGAGAGTGAGCCCATTGTTTGTTTGTTTTATATTATCAATATTTTAATTTTGGTTATATTTTCACACTGGTGCTTAAGACCATGCAGTGACCAAATCTAATCACTATGTTTTTTAAACAAACAAACAAACAAACCTGTTAAGGTCAGTTGAGGTTCTGGTCCTCAAAGGTTACGGGCTTTGGGAGGAGGAAGTGGCATTTCAATTGTATTTTAATAAATAAAGACTGCCTGAAGATCTGAGAGTAAAATAGTAAACTGGTCTGTAAATTACGGAAAGACAGGAGCAAGGGCCTTGCTAGACTGGCTTTGCTTAGAAGCATGGAGGCTATTTCTCCTCTGTGTAGAATGAATAGTCTACCCAGTGGGGTGGACAAATTCAAACTGATGTCTAAACTACAGCACTTGAAATGAGTATGGAAGAGAACCAGCTAAAACGGGAAAACACTGATGTAGATGGGTCTTTTGTCTATTTGGTTAATAAAGAAACTGCCTTGGTTTTTGATAGGGCAGAAAATTAGGTGGGTGGAGTAGACAGAACAGAATGCTGGGAAGAAGGGAAGTGAGGTCAGATGCCATGGAATCAGCCGCCAGGTCAGATATGCTGAATCTTTCCCGGTAAGCCACCACCTTGTAGTGCTACACACATTAATAGAAATGGGTTAATCAACATGTGAGAGTTAGCCAGTAAGAGGCTAGAGCTAATGGGCCAAGCAGTGTTCAAAAGAATACAGTTTCTATGTTACTATTTCGGGGCATAAGCTAGCCAGGCGGCCGGGAGCCGGGCGGCAGGAACGGAGCCCGCCGCTCATCTCTACAAAACACTACTAGAGGTTCTTTACACAAGAGGAACCCTAAATGGTATCACAATATTGGGGGTGATAGCCAATTTAACTCATCTAATTGAAACTGAGACAAACTCATTAGACAAAATTAGAAAGTCAGACAAGGGTAAGTGAGATAGCTCACGGCATAAAGGCACTCTGGCATGGGCCTGACCACCTGCGGTAGATACCTACCTGGGACACACATGATAACTCCAACAAGTTGTTCTCTGACCTCACCTCACAGTGGTGCTGCACGTGCACCCACAGCACACGAACACACGATACATAAACAAGTGCCAAAAATGTCAAAGTCAGACAATTCAGGCGTGGTGGAGACTCACACCTGTAATCGCAACACTAGGAGGTGAAAGCAGGAACTTTCTAGTTCCTAGGTTACTCCTAGGTCAGCCTAGGCTACAGGGATTGAACCCAGGGCAAACACTGCATCGACTCTATCCTGATCCCTGGAAAGGCCTAAGAGCAGGAGCTGTAATCTAGACAAAACGTCAAATAAGAACCTTACTCTCAAGGCAAGCTTGAGTGTATTGCTGACTTAGTCAGCATCTATTTTGGTCTGTTTAATTAATTTATTTATGTGCGTGTCCCAGTGACTTTTTGTATTCATGTGTGCAGAAGCCTGGAGTCTAGGAGGAAGTAGTAGATCCTCCTGCCTCTGTGTGGGCCACTCTGTCACACTACGGTTGTGGTTTTGGGTAGCTCACCTACCCACTAGACAAAGAACAAACATACTGTAAGTGTTGTCAATTATGCTCTAAGGAATTATGTCTCTCTGGGCTTCAGGTTATTTTTGACATTAATTTTGGAGGCTATGTCTTGTCTCTTTCAAGATTTATTATGGTTCAAGATCAGATTTGGGATTATTTCTTCTCCTTTGGTAACGTCTTATTTATTGATATAAGCTGGTAGTCTATGTCACCAAATATCACATGGGAGCATGTTTAGAAATGCAAATTCTGGGGTCTTCCCAAGATATATCTATATATAATTTGAAATTGAAATGAGGCCCAACAATCTGTTCAGTACACCTTCTGGCTAATTCTGACACACACACACTCAAGTTTGTCCACTAATGATTTACACAACCAACAGAAAGTGCCATCTGTGCCCCCTGACTCCTGAGAGGCATCTGATCCCCACAAGCAGCTCTTGCTTACAGTAACTAGCACTGAAATAGTTCTGTGTGTCTTTACACTTCAGTCCAGCTGAGGAAATGAACTGTGTCTTATCTGCTCATGGCAATGGTACTGAGGACGCTGCCTTCCAGGTAGACAGGGCTGAGATTTTCAATACTACTCATTAATTGTGCCCCTACTTTTTTGTAAAAATATAAAATAAAATAAATAAACATGTCCTTATAGTTTTAACATATGTTTTAGACAGGCTTTTGCTATAGCCCTGGCTAGCCTGGAACTTGCTCTGTGGATCAGCTGGCCTTGGGTTTGCAGCAACTTTCCTCAATGCTGGGGTTATAAGCATAAACCACCAAGCCCAGATTATTATCTTCACTCTTGAATTTTTTTTTATTTTTATTTTATGTGTCTGAGTGCTTTGCCTATATGCATATGAGGGCATTACAAGTGTTTAGTGAATGCTGAGATCAGAAAAGGGCAATGGATCCTCGGGAACCTGAGTTAACTGGTGTTGTGAGCCACTCCATGGGTGCTAGGAACAGAACCCAGGTCCTCTGCAAGAGCAGTAAGAGCTCTCGACCACAGAGCTCCTTGTCTTAACTCTGCAAGCTGGTGCAGGACCCAGGTTTTCTCTCATGTTATTTAATGAGGCATTGAATTATGAATGGGCTCATGGTGACATGTGCTTTCCACAGGGTGAAATGCTATTCAAAGCAGAACCTGAGGAAAGCAAGGCAAAGCTAAAGGGGCAAATCCAAGCTCTTTGTGCTTGTATGGGTGTGCACACACCCCACTGCACACGTGCTGGTCTTAGGTGCTAGTCTGTCTGTCTGAGGGTTTCCTGTGCTTTGCTGTGAACATCTGGCTACCAGGTCTGAGAGTTTCTGGAAATTCTATTTCTGCCTTGTTTCATATGCACTACTGTGTCCAGCTTTATCTGAGTATTGGGGATCCCAATTGAGGTCCTCATGATTATGCAGCAAGTGTCTTACCCAGTGAGCCATTTTCTCAGTCCCATAACTCTTATTAAATGAAAAGTTTTACTAAATTATTAAATTAGAAAAGAAATGGAACCTACAGGAACATTTTCAAAACAAGTCTGCCTTGCTGTTTTGAGGCATATTTACCTGAGGTGTGACTGTGTGGTCCATCAAATTCTCAGTTAGAGAAAGAAGTAAGGCATCCAATTCATCTGTTGCATCCTGCAGAAGACAAGGCAAGAATCCATGAACAATCTGGCATTGCACCGCACTTTCCCACAGTCTCTGAATTTCTAACAGTGACTTGGGCCCAGCTAGTGTGGACCTTCTAAACAGAAAAGGACATTTGGAAATGAGCTACCAACGATTCCACTTTGAGGAGGAGAATCTATACTATAATCAGACCCAGGAAAAGAAGTGCTCTGTAAATACTCACGTAGCTACTCCATTTACATAGAAAAACCTGAAAGAGTTAAGTCAGCGACTGGTTTGTGGCTGGCTAACAGGTTTGGATAGGACAGTCATGGTGTCCCAGCTGAATTCTTCGACGATGAGAAGGGAAAGAACATTCGAGTGGTGGCGGTGTTCAATATGGAAGGGCAGAGAGCCAATGCCCAGGCAGTAGAAGAATGTGATCATGAAGGAAGGTTAAGTGTTCCAACGGCAGGACTGGTTGGCAAGAGAGAGCTCAAGGGAAGCTATATTTTTGGTATGGTTTGGGGCATCTACTAAACAAACTGGTGTTTACACCAAAGTGCTATTTGTTCAATTCTAGATGAAGCTATTGGCTATAATTGCACAATCTTTGCATAAATGAAACAATTATTTTTTAAGTTGATAAAAAGTATAAATATATGTATTTGGTTTTGGTTTAAAAAAGATTAAAAAAAATTTTTTTGTTGTTGTTTTTCGAGACAGGGTTTCTCTGTGGTTTTTGGAGCCTGTCCTGGAACTAGCTCTGTAGACCAGGCTGGTCTCGAACTCACAGAGATCCGCCTGCCTCTGCCTCCCGAGTGCTGGGATTAAAGGCGTGTGCCACCACCGCCCGGCATATTAAAAAATCTTAACAGATATGGCCAAACTGGAAGGCCCAGCTCACTGTGGGTGGTGCCAACCCTGGCTGGTGGTCCTGGGTTCTGTAGAAAGCAGCACTCCTCCATGGCTTCTGCATCAGTTCCTGCCCCAACTGCCCTCAGTGATGGATTATGATGTGGAAATGTAAGCTAAATCCTCCCCAAGGTGCTTTTGATCATACTGTTTTATCACAGCAATATAAACCCAGACTAAAATAAGCCCTAACTGAAATATACTATACATAAATATTAACTATGTACTATCTTTGCATACTAGGATTAAGGGTGATTTATAGTTTTCCCTTTTGTGAAGTATCTGGTAAATTTCTACAACTAATATACATTATGCAACAAAAATGGCGAAATTGCTTGTGTTAAATTAGAAAGTCTGGGTTTCTGTGAGTTCTGCACTGGTTAGGGTGCAGACACATAAGAGTGGAACTGGACTGAGCTGGTGGTCCTGTAATACAACCAGTGAGACGCGCCTGTTGTTAGCCACATTTTATAATCAGTTCCTGTTATTCTTTTGGTCTCTGGTTCCTTTAAGGGACAAGTCACGCCCACTCCCAGCAACCTCTGCCCCCTGCCCCCCTTCTCCTCTCCTCTCCTCTCCTCTCCTCTCCTCCCCTCCCCTCCCTCCCTCCCTCCCTCCCTCCCTCCCTCCCTCCCCTTTTGGCATGCTCACACGTGTCTGTCCGTCTCTCTCTCTCCTTCTCCCACTCTCCTCTAAGCAATAAAGGTTCAGTTCTGATTCATACTATGTGTCTGTCATATGCCCCTACCCACGTGCCTGCTCGCCGCCGTTGGAACTCGCCGCCACTTGGCTGCTGGGCTCTGGAGCCAAGGCCCGGCACCCGCCCGCCCTGCTGGGGATCTGCCGGAGCTAGCGGGTGCTCTGCGAGTCCGCCGGAGGCACGCCAGGATATTTTAAAATCATAAAAGTTCCTATTACTTGCCATCTGCTGTTTGAGACATTAGGAATACAGCAATGAACAGAACAGGTTACCCAGGAATGTTGGTGCACTGCTATGATCCTAGCCTGGGCAAAGGGAAGCAGAGGACTGAGCACCAAGGCCAACCTGGCCTACACAGCAAGGTTGTGATTCAACAAAACAAAACAGGAATCAGCCCACTCACACAGCTTATGTTTTCCTAGGAAAATCATACAGTGAATTTCAGCAAAATCACAGGTGTGCTGGACAGCATCTAACGTGTCCACTTGAAGAGAACAGTGTGTCTTGGAGACGAAAAAAGTGAAGGCAAGGCCAGCACCCAAGACTGTCTCAAAATAAAGCCCCCAGCAGCACACTGGAGAGAAGCGTCTAGTAACTCTTCGGGAATAGGCAGGCAGGGCAGCCCTAGGGTCTTCCCTAGGGAGAAAGCTCAGCTGCTCCTCCCACCTCAAGCCCAAGGGCCACTGAGAAATGGCCAGATGTCCCTGGTCACATGAGAGGTTAAACTCACTACTGTCTCTTGAAAATGAAAAGCAATCTTCTTACCTTGAGTGCAGACCCACTGTCTGCAGCTGTGGCGTGCGCTGGAGTGGGAGAGTCTCTGCTCGGGGGCACATCCTCATTTATAGTGCTGGGAGGAAACAGAATCAGATCAGGGAGGACGTGCACACAGCTGGCACTGCTGGAGAACCCTTCGGGAGGGTTAATAAGGCCATGGAGAGGAGTAAGACAGGGCAGTCGGAGGAAAACCTTCAGATTTGTTATCTGAGTCAGAGTCCTTTGCTGCTAGATCTAAACAGCTCACTAGCTTGCTTCCTTCCCCAAACCACACTAAATGAGGAAACATTTGTCTTTAGTACACAAACACGCACGCACGGCACGCATGCGTGCACACACACGCACACCAATTCATAGTATCTCAAACTACTAAGGGTTGTCAGTGTAGTTTAAAACCTTCAGAAAATTCAGAATGATACACTTTAGAAAAGGATAGTTATAGCTTCAAATCCAGAGAAACTATGTAAAAAAATGGGAAGTGAGGAAGTTCTACAGACTGACTTTATTCCCCTTCTTTTTCTGTTATCTTTTTTCAGACAGGGTCTCATCACTTTCTCTGGCTGTCTGGAACTCACTATGAAGACCAGCTAGCGTTGAACTAACAGTTTTTGCCTCCCAAGTGCTGGGACTAAAGATGTAAAATACATGAATGAAAAAGCTAAGTTGATCCCAAATCTGATACATAGCCAAGACAGAGGAGCAGAGTGAGGAACCAGGGGAACCATGGTGAGGGTACAGGCTGGAGAGCTGTCGCATAAGGGAGAAGCAACATCCAGGATGCTCCAGATACTCTAACAGACGAGAGGATGTGGAATATCTATACTCTGCAGACCTAGCAGTGGTGATATTTTGTTTGTGTTTTAGCAAATATAGCTTGCCTGAAGATTAGAGCGCAGAGCTACTAGAGGCCAGGCAGTGGTGGCACACACCTTTAATCGGAACTTGGAAAAAAAGAGGCAGACAGATCTCGTTACTTCAAGGCCACCCTGGGCTAAGCAAAATTGATCCAGTCTAAAAGAGAAACAGCTCACACAAAGGTGATCCCAACACGTGGGATGACGCGCCTTTGTCCCAGCACTAGGGAGGGGGAGATGGGTGATATAAAGTAGGAGAAAGCAGGAGCTCAGTGCAGCCGGAGGACACAGTCTGGGGATGCAGGCTGAAGTGCACTGAGGACAGATCGCCCTTTTGGTCTAAAGGGTCATCCTAGTGGCTGGCTGCACTGCTTCTCTGATCTCTCAGATATCAGTGGGTGAAAACTGAGAGATCAGAGAAGCAGTGCTTCTCAGACTCTCCAGGAAGGCAACCTGCGGAGCTCGCAGTGCTGCCCACTGGGAAGCAGAGGAGAGGTCTCCCAGCCACCAGCACATGCGCCAGCCTAGCCCTCCAGCTAAGCAGTCCTTATAACTGCTGTGTGGGGAAGACCAATGCAAAGTAAGAATGGACAGCCATGGTAGACTTGCAGGATGGCAGTAAGTGAAGAAACAAAAGTTCAGAAATAGAGAAACACAAAACTGGATGACACATGTATTTTATCTTACTGGTGCAAAGCCTAAAAACCATGCACACCAATATACGGTTGGTAATAACCTGTACATAATAGAGGTACTACAGAACCCATGTAAAGTGATGGGTGTGGTCATACAAGTTCCTGTACGTACCTCTAACACTGTAGGTGGCAGAGACAGGAGGATCACTTGGGTTTGATGGTGTTAGTACAGCACCAGACTCTGACATCCTGTCTCCCAGGGAGCAGAAAGTGCTAGAGCAGGACACTGCACCACAGCCTCTTGCAGGCGGAATTACAGGCTTGCTCTCATTCTGCTTTAGTCTGCCCATGAATTCCTAGAAAATGATGCAAGGAACAAGTGCACTTTGTCTAACTCAGAACTCACAGAACACTGAGTTGAACAAAAAGATGTCCCTAGGAAATGCTGTAAGCCACCTGCTGTTCAGGGCAAACAAACAAATAAAAACCCAACAAAACAACCAAAAAACTAACAAAAACAAACAAACAAACAAATAAGCCACCACCCAAACATCAACAAAACCAGTACAATGGAAACACAAGGGTTGAGAGACAAAGTCACAGAGCAAGAAATTCTGGGATGGAAAAAACCCCCCAAACCGTTGGGAGCCCACACGAAATGGAGGCATTTAGAAAACGATGCATGCGCCAAGGGAGGACATGGGTCTCCTGCTAAGAGCAGACTGGAACTCGGGTCCTGAGCAGGTGAGGCAGCAGCACCACCAAGCCTGGCCTGCAGTCATCTACACTCTGCAAACCATCCTAACACACTGCCAAGCAGAAAGACTTTTCGAGAGCATTTTCCTCTATTAAAAAATTTTATTATTGCCAGGTGTTGGTGGTACGCGTCTTTAATCCCAGCACTTGGGAGGAAAAGATAGGTGGATCTCTGTGAGTTCAAGGCCAGCCTGGTCTACAAGAGTTAGTTCCAGGACAGCCAGGGCTGTCACACAGAGAAACCCTGTCTTGAAAAACAAAGAAACAAAACAAACCCTGAAACATTTTATTCTATTAGTTTACATTTTGAACCTATATATCTGTGTAGGCACTGTGGTAGAGGACAACGTGTGGGAGTCAGCTCTCTCCTCCTACCACATGGGCCCAGAGATTAAACTCAGGTTGTCAGGCTTGGCAACAAGAGCCTTCTGCCCACTGTGTCATCTCCCTGGCCCCTAAAGATTTACTAATTTTTATTTTATGTGTATTAGTATTTTGCCTGTATCTATGTACAAACATCATATATGTGTCTGATGCTCACACAGGCCAGAAGAGAGTGCTGGGTCTCTTGAAAGTACAGTTTTTGGTTCTGGTCATATGACATCTCTGTCAAATCACTACTGAGTTCTATACTAGGGCAGCAGGCATCAGAGGCTGCAGCTCATAAAGGAGTCTCCAAATGTCACTTTGAACAGGCTCCAGCTATCATATAATCACACAGCAAAAACAACCAAGAAAGCCTAAGGGAGAGAAGACTCTGCTGCCGAGAATTACATCATCAAGATCAAAATGTCCACGTTCCAAATTCACCAGAGTGTGGCTCATCCACAAGGAAGACAGGAGCAGACGCTTCCCCCAGAAAGCAGAGACAACTGCACTTACTGGGCAAAGGGTGCAACTGGGTCAAATCCCTCAGAAAGCAAGAACTACAGGAGATTAGGACACCAACAACAGGCAGAGGAAGGGCTCTATGGATGATTTACAGCTAGAAAGTAGGACTTTTTAACGAAAAATCTGCCACAGGATTTCAACAGCAGATGTAGTAAGGTTCGCAGAAGAATCAGTGAGTTTAAAGAGATCTTAAGGAGCTGTCGGCCAGGACTATCTCGCCAGAGGCTAGGAGAGATCCTCATCTGGCCTTACAGAGGTCCTTTTCTACATGAACTTTCTCAGTTTTGATGACAAAGGGCTCAGCCCAGCTTACAAGCATTTGACATCTCTGCGAAGGAACACACTCTTGCCCCTGGTGAGATGGAGAGATCCTATGTCCCTCCAACAGCAGCCACCAGCCCTCCTGCTAACCCTTGGGAGAGAATAGGCTTGTATTTTTCCTCAGATTGCCATGACGCCAATATGGGTTCTGGTAAGAGATGTGCACCTGACCATGGATCAGCCTGCTTCCATCACAGAGAATAACCCAGGATGGGTAATGTATATACTCCCCATTCTTGCTCTCATTGCCCCCCCCCAACAAGATGATTTATTTAGGGAAGAAGTTATAGCCTTTGACTATTCATTTTTTGAAAAGGTTTAGCATAATATAAAAAGGCTATTTGATCCCTGCTGGATGTTCACATATGCATTAACTAACAGGGTGGTATTGTTAATCCTTATTCTCTTTAAATATCTCCTGTAGCAGATCCGACATCAGCGGACAGCAACTAAGGTGACTCTTCAGGTGTTAATGGCTCTTGGGCATCCTTTTTGTAGTCCTCTGCAGGAGGTTATAAATGCCAGGTTATCTGTAATTCAAAAAGCTACTGCCTAGTCCCCCCACCCTGGCAGGTCTCCAGGAATGAATGCTCTTTGAGGGTTGGCAGTCAATGACAGGTAAGAACTTGGTCAGCAGGCCCACCTAAGACAGGCACAGTCCAGTTGCTGAGCCCTCCTCAGGTGGGGTCAACAAGGCCTGAGCAAAGAACTCTGGCTCCCACTGAACACCCATGTAACAAATAAAAGGGTGGAAATGTAGGAAGTTAAGGCCTACCGGGCTGAGAGGGGCCAACCTGGAGCTCTCAGAGGTCCTGATTGTGCCTAACCAATGAGGGGCAACTACATGAAGTCAATGGATTAGAGTGCCTGGGAGCAGGGAGAATATATACAAGTTTTTCCCCATTGTTAAATAAATGACTCTACTCTATGCCTTCTACCTGCCTCCTGATGTTTGAGACATTAACAGTGTGCCTTCTCACCCCCTCCCCCCAGGAAGACATTAGGGTCCAGCGACACCCCTACCTCCCACAGCCCCTCTCAGCCATTTCTCCTAGCTAATCTCTATTTCTCTCCACCAATCACTGACAGGCAGAACTTTCTACCAGGGAACTCAGAGGTACCACAGAGGGCAACAGCAAACAAAGAATGGATCACCTACCCAAAGACAAGACCAGATATCAAAACTATGAACATCACAATCGTCATAATTCAGATGCCTAGACCTCAATGCAAAAAAAACATGAACAGCCAAGACAATAAGCCTCCCCAAAAACCTAGTGACTTTACTAAGTACCCCCTGAAAAATGCAATATAGCTGAAGCACAGACAAGGACTTCATAATAGCAAGTATGACTATGTTCAAGGACCTTAAAGAAAATGTGAATAAATCTATTAAGTCCATGAAAACACAAAGAAACAGAGTAACAAAATGAAGAAAACAGTTCAAGACATGAAAGTAGAAACAGAATCACTAAAGAAAAACCAAACTGAAAAAGAGTTGGAAATGAAAAATTTAGGATGGCAAACAAAAACTTCAGAGACAAGCCTTACTAACGAAGTATAAGACATGGAAAGGAGAATCTCAGGTGTTGAAGGCAAGGTAGAAGAAATGAATA